AGATTCATAAAAGATTCAGAAAGGGTGCAACAAAGCTTCACTATGTATTCAATAAAGCTTCAATGTAACTTCAGCTGGATATATGATCCAGCACAAGTGACATGGATTCATCTCATATCAAGAAATCAATCATGGGCGCAGGTTATGTTTTTTTCCTATACAAAAGCTTATCTCAAATTAAAATAACCACACAAAAGTTGTCATGTCTAGAATATATTACAACTTCAACATACACATTTATCTCACTCCATATCCATTGCATCTTCATCATGGCTATCTTGCACAAATCCCTACCAGTGGATATGAAAAAAATTAGTATACAGAAACGCACTGAGTCTCTTCAACCACTCACAATATTTGCTAAGCCAACAATTGAAAGTTTTGCGTTGTGGATATCAAATGTTTGGGGCTCTTCATGACAATTCGCTGTCCAATTATGTCCTTGACTTGAATTACATGATATTCTTCATGTGAATCATAAACAACAGTAGCGTTCAGTAAGTCCGGCAAGGAAGAGTACGGATTCTTGTGCTGGTCTTGATGACTCAGGGACTTGAGTGAATGTACAACAAGCAGTGGTGTGGGGAGGTTGTTGAGCCGGACTATTTCAGTGATACATCCAGTCCATCTTTGAGAGTTCAGGGCATATGTAATGTAGCTATTCCCAGGTGTTGTCTTGTGAGTGCTGTGCGCCTTGTTAAAGATCTTGATGGATGAGGTAACATCAAATTTTGAATTGAAGGTGTGACCTGCCTCAAGATGATTGAAACGATGGAGTGCTTGAAAGCCTGCAGGACTGAGCTTCTTGACAGCCCACCTTGACTGGCGGTTCCTTTGGAGGTAATCTCGGAGGATTGGATCTGCCTCCATGGCAGAGTGACTATTGTTAATTGTTGCTCTGAAGAATCCCCGTCTGGCGTGTTGGTGAAGTAATGTCTCACCCTGTCCTTCTGAAGTGTCAAAGACCGGAATCAGCTGATTTTAAGTGATCAACAGAGGGACAAAAAAGACTGGCGGATATTTCCGTTCTTTGCTGTCTGAACCAGGCTTCCAATTATCCTCTCACCAGACCAGCTAGCAGTATAAGCTGGTGGCCCAAGCCTTGCTGAGATTTCGCCAATATGTTCTGCAAAATGCAAGTTAGGTTTTTTCTTGATATGTGGCCAGCCATCTCCAAGGGCGGTTTGATAGCCATGAACTAAATTACCAATCTTTTCACCATCGCCTTAGTGAAAACTGCGCAAAGTACATATGTTGCCAATTTGAATGAGTTGCAGCAGGCTGGCAAGGATCTTGGCTGAAGTAGTGCCAGCTTCGCCATTAAGAAAGTGAGGGACCCAAGCAAGTACAATGTAGACTTTGTATAAAGAATGCCACTCTGCTGCTTTGGGAGTCCCAGCACTTGCCATACCAAAGGTACCCTGGGGTTTGGTAAGCCAAGAGGGGGCTTGGGCGTTTTTGATGCATTGCTGGAGCAGATCGAGCTCATAAGATGTGATTTCTGGAACAATCACAGGTATTGGTAGGGGTGGAGGTGGTGATGGTGATGGGGTCCGGCTTGCTTTTTTTTACCCTTGATTGTACCATCTGATCCAGCAGAAGAGAACCCTTGGTCGTGGAGATTGGATGCTGCTGATCGTGTTCCGTAGGAATGTTGCGATGCTGGTTTGGGCGGAGGAGCTGAAGCTGACGGGCCTGGTGGATCAGGAGTTGCAGTACTGGCTGTTGATGGCTTATGTAGCTGAACATTATACATTCTTTTACTGAATTCCATTTTGTCCTTTTCAGCTTCCAGAGCCTTGCCTGCCACTGGCACTTTTAAATAATTTGTGGAAAAGTCTTTGAAGAGGCCAAGGAAGATGTTGTGCATAATATCAACAGTGTAGAACTCAACAGACTTCCAATAAGGCAGCTCATGAAGGACAGTATATCTTACTCCATTGCTGCCGGTAAGTTCATTTTGATCATAGGCAGTGGTGGCCTGTTCCCATGCTTGTGTTTGAAGTTTTACCTCTGTTGAGGTTCGGTGAGGACATTTATGTGCTGGAAATTGGGAGTGATATATTCTGTCCGTAATTTGACAGAGTGAACAAAAGTGTCTGGAAGAGTGTGCGGTGAAGGCGGTGACCTTTTTCATGGCTGGGACGTCCCCATGGATGGGCCAGATGGCTGCATGAATGGTTTGGCCGACTACAGGATGTTTTGAGGTGGAACTAAAGCTGATGCCTTGCCAAAACTCTTTCATCTCTTCAACCAGAGGCCCGAGGAAGTGATTCATTTCTGTTGTGGAAGGTTCTGAGGGACCTGGCATGATCCCGTAAAGGCAGATATTCTCTCTTTTGTAACGTAAGGAAGGAGGCAAGTTGAAACAAGTGAGAAGCATGACACCAACAGAGATCTTGACTCTAGCTTCTTTGCCGTTTGGATTGAACCAGTCACACCCCAGTCCAAAAACAAGGTTCCCCAATTTTGCAGTGAAGACTGAGCCTGACTTTTGGAAGGTTTCCATAGGCTGCCATCCCATATATCATCCATTTGGTGATTGGATGGTGGGGTGCGGTTGAGAGAGGCATCCAAGGCCGTTTTGAAAGCGGAAAACTTGAGCATCTTGCCAAGCCATGACTGGACAGACTGATAAAAAAATAGTCTAGATGGTTTTTGAATTTGTTTACCAGAGGGTGTTTCATAAAGTGGTTGATCACAAGATTTTTGTTTTTCTTTAGATGTCTTTGAGGTGAATCAAGGATGATTGCACAGTTGATTCATATTGATTTGGTCTATTGGTAGTACAGGATGCAGAGCACAGCAGAATGGACAACAGATTTTGCTCTGTATGGTGGTATTGAGGTCGAATGTCTTTAAAAGTGTTGGGATCGTGCGAGGGATTTGGGTCCAAGGTGTTGTCTTGATGTTGGGATCCAACTGTTTGAGGTGCTCTTCTACACTATCTCGCGCGGTTCGAAGGCTTTGCCGGCAGGCATCTACACTAAGATTGTTGAAAAGGTGGTTCTTGGTGACCTTGAACATTTCTCGTAAACACATGGGGTGCTGTAAAAAGATTTTTGGGAGTGAAGGTGTGTTACTTGTATATGTGAGCTGTGTTCTTGAGGCCTTGGGTGCTGGAGGAACTGTGTTGCCCAAGTCTGAGTCGTCACTATCTCTATCCTCGTCCAATTCTTCTCTAGCTCTTTTGTTGGGGCGGGTGGGGGCAACCGCCCCACCAATGGGGGGTAGTATTGCTGTACTTGTAGAGGCTTGAGCTGATGCTAAGTTTGGAAGCTGATATCAAGTCTGCAGTCAGACAACTTGAAAACACATAGGGGGAGAATTGCACTCACATAGGACAACTGAGGTGCATAAATCCCTGATGAAGTACTGGCCATGGGTTGAACAACTACAGGGGCTGAAGAATCACTGGGTGTGGGTTGACCTACTACAGGAGGTGCGGAACTGCTGGGCGTCAGTTAAACAACTGCACTAGCTATGTTGGTGGCTGCACCAACCGCTTCAGGTTGCGCTGAAGGGTTACGTTGGAGGTGTCCAGGATATGATTGGCGGCTGAATATTTTGCCTTGATAGACCTTTCCTCTGTATTGAATGGTCTTTTGATTGCATCCCAATTCTGGGCAACTGCAGAGGAACTGGTTGCGGTCCAAAGCAACAGCATGACGTCCTAAAGTGATGGGCATTGATGATGGTGTGGATGTGAGAAATATCTGATTGTTGGATAAATGCTGAGTGTCCAGATTCAGACTGGGAAATGGGATATCACAAGACTAAGTCCTCACAACCACAGTGCCATGTAGGTTACATGTGGTGGTATGTGTGAGACACTAGTAGGTGGGCTAGGTTAGGGTTCATTGATCTTACATGTTATATTTTCAGAAGCCTAGAAGTGGCAGGAAACCTTGTACCTTGAAAGTAGCTAGCAAAGCAACTGGGATTTTGAGGGATAAAAGTGAACCAGGTTAAGTCTCACCTGGACATAAACTGGTGTGAGTGATCAAGTGAGGTTTGAAATGGTTCACAACACTAGAACCAACAGTGTTTGTTTTAGTTTATATCTGTTTGATTCATGCTTTGCAATCAGGGTAATTGCATGGTTTATAAAAAACTTGAAACCCAAATTGGGTATGGGTATCCAAACCTAAAAACATGCTGTTAGGGTTGATTATATACAGATCCATATTCAACAGCCGGTTCATCTTTTTATTGGGTCAACAATATGCCACAAGTTCAGAAGACCAAATATGTCAAGTTTGGCGGGTTGTATCTCTTTCTTCTGTCATCTCACTTTTTTGTGTATGAAAGTATTTCACCACCTGAATTTTTCAGAAGCTTCTTAAAAAAGGCTGCACCCCCAGTGTGAGATATGGGGGTTGAAATCACTCTGTCATGAGTGATTTGTCATGATGCCATCAAAATTCTTTTATAGTACCGCAAACTCAGTTCAAGCCTCACTTGTGAACCAAGAATTCAAAAGGTGCATAGGCATGCCTTCTAAAAAAGACTGCACCCCAGTGTGAGATTTAAATGTGAAATTCACTCTGTCATAAGTTATTCTTTATGATACCATCAACATTCTTTTCTAGTACTGTGAACTCAGTTCAAGCCTCACCTGAAGGCTTGAGCTGGTTCACAGTACCAGGAAAGAATGCCAATGATATCATAAAAAAAATATGATGGCATTAAAATTCACAGGCAGGGAGGGAAACATGAGGTAGAACAACAAGAGACAAATAAAACAATAGAATTTATTCAAATCCCTAACCTTACACTTGAAATTTGAAAACAAGAGAACCTTTTGGCAAAACAAGATACAAGCAGAACAATATTTATTCAAATCCCTATCCTTACACTTGGGTTTGGAAAACAAGAAAACTTTTTTTTGATTGATGGAAGGTACATTTTGAGTTAAGAGGAAGGAACTTTCCCCGGGGTGGAATAAATCCAGCACATGAAAATTATAATTCAAGAGAACAAAATACATCATAAGGTCATTATTTTTTTTTGTTAGGATCTTTGGCAACTTGAATGTCAGGTAGGTCAAACAGAGGGTCTCTATAAATCTCACCGCCAGAGAATTTAGTCCTATTCACACAAAAATTATAAAGGTCTACTTCCAGTGCTTTGGCAAGCTGGAACTTGGACACTTCATGCTCATCCCAACCAACATCATTGAGGTTGGAGGGATCAAAACCTGTGGGGAAGAAGATGTTTTCAATGGTTTCCAGGATGTACTTCTGGGTATATTTCCAGATTGGTTCGTCAATGGGTCCTTGCCCATTCATCTGGTTAACTAGAACCAGGAAATGAGAGAGTTTCACGGATCCAAATCGTGCTTTGTCGTGCGGGAAGATCATGAGACCCTTTACACCAGAGACCAAAAAAGCCAACAGTGGTCCAAGAACATGTGATGCCATGGAGCCTGTACCCAGGGTGTGGGTCATTGCCTCGTAATCTGAGAGGAGCTTGTCGGGTGTTCAACTGAGATACAATGCATGATGAAATTTTGCTCACAGACTGGTGACTGCTTCAAAGACCGTGTACAGGCGATTAACCATCCCAGTCAACACTTTCGTACACTCTGCAGCAAATTGAGTTTGTTGCTTAGTCTTGTGAAGGTTTTTGAAGTGATGAGCAGCTTGAAGACACTGCCCAATGTCTTGGTTTGGGTATTCAACTTCAGGAGGAGTGTAGTCCACGGGAAGTTCTTTGGTGTCCATCCGGGCAAATGTCACAGCAGCAACTATCATCCGCACTGCCTGATTGATACGCTTTGTACCTGGACTGTAGAACAAACTCAGAATCTTGTGAACGTAGGTGGTTTGAATTTTGTCATCTGTGGTAGTTGGCAGTTTGTAGTTGGGTAACGTGAAGTTGAAAATGTCGTGTCAATGCCACGGCGCTTCGCCAGCACTACGCATGAGGAAGGAGTCTGAAACGAATGAGGTTAGCATCAGGTGCCAATGGGAAAAATAAAAAAAAAACTCACTGGGGTTTTGGGAAAGCCCAGGCACGAACTGACAACTTGTTTTTCACCCCAAAAGGCTCTGCTTCCTGGATGGGGGGCT